CTCCAGATGGATGGACAGAGCCCCTGCCCTTCATAGCCCAGGGTGTTCAGCAGATTTATGACACTTCACATCACTACATCAGGCCAGGAGCTCAGAGGAGGACAGGTTTGTACTGGCTGGGAAGATGTGATCTGTAGCTGCTGCACATTATGGAAAGGAAAGGGAATAGATTTGTCAACCAGTCAACTCCAGATTTCCTTAGTGAGTAAATTGGGCACTGTTTGCCCTCTGGTGAGGAAGGACAAGAGCCTAATTTAGATCTAAAAGCTGAGCAGTGAAACCAAAGCTATCCTTGGAGAACAAACTTGTCTGGAGAAACATGCTTCTGTTCTCTAATTTAAAAATCCATCTTCTTGGATCTTAAGAGAAGTGAAAGCCGCCTCCTTGCTCTTTAGGGGCTCTTTACAATGAATTCTGGCATTTATAAATAAGACATAGAGGTTCATCTGATCTGTAACATGAGCTCTTTAATAGTTGTAGAGCTGGAAGCCTTAATGAGGCCATGAGTTGCTGCTTTGCTTCCTTTCCTCTTTCAATAGTTGGCTCACTTTGTTGCTTTGTTTGAGCATAGCCAGAACCACAAATCCTCCTGTTGCTGTATTAATAAAGAACCCTATTCAGAAATTCCTGGGATATGTCTGAGTGAGCAACAGGAAGAGGAGAAATCCAGAGAAGAAGAAATGTCTGTATTAGTGCATTTTGTTGACATCATGAGTCATTGGTCAGACAAAAACAATTATCACTGTCTTACACAGCTGTGGACAGGAGAGGTGGGAACAAGTCAGGAGACAGAGGGGGTGAGAGAATTCCCCCTACTCTCCATCAGCACAGCCTGTTCAGAGGTAAACACAACTGGATTCTCCCCAGAGCTTCATTATGGAGTTAATCCTGCAAGGTACTGAGCTCCCTTAACTCCCAGCTCAGCAATGCGTGAGAATTCCAAGGCAACACAATAGGTTAATGCTTTAGGGCTCTTGTGCTTGGATTCAAATCTTAATGAGCACAGCAGAGAGGAGGGAGAGATGCTGCATTAGCCCTCCTGCCCTGCTGTGAAGTGTATGTATTGTCTGCTCCAAGCCCCATTGAGCATCTCAGCAGGGCTGGAACAGAGGGGGCTGCCCAGGGTCAGGACTGGGGTGTCCTCACAAGACAACATGTGCCTGCAGTGTCCCAGGAACACAGGGCTGGCTGCCAGGCTGGGGGCTGCCAGTGTTGTGTGCTCACTGGGTGACTTTTGAGAGGGAAATGAGTCTAGAAGGGAATCACGTGGGTGATGCAGCTTTGGAGCACCTCACATCAGACATGTTGCTCATGGCCAATGGACATCTGGGTTCCTCCTGTGGGTACTGTAGGTTCTGCAAAACCAAGGCACTGCCTTTGTTTGCAGAATCTGGACATTGCCACGAGGATGCTCCAGGAAATAATAAGAGGCTACATTAGTATTCTGTGGCTGGAAACCCATCCACTCCACAGCCAACTTCCAAGAAGGCAAGAAACCTGGGAGAAGCCTGGGTTCCATAGACATATCTACTGCTTTGTAAATAGCCATTACTGCATTTGCTGCTTCACTCTGTTGTGTTACTGTTGTTCTTACTCCCATGCAGGTGTCTTGGCTCCCTGGCATGGCCAGAAGTCTCTTACACAGGAAAAATCTTTGATTTAGTTAAAAATGTCTTTCGAAGTCTGCTGTCACTTCAGAGACAAACTGAAATAAATCTGAATAAATCAGAGTCACTCTTGTGAGGCCAGCAGTACCTTGCAGATTTCCCCAGAGGCAGATGGAGCCCGCTCTGCTGAGAAACAGCCTTGCACATCCCTCTGCTCTGCTCATTTCAGTGCACTTTTCACTGAAAGGAGATCTCTGCCCCTTCAGTGTTGGTTTTCTCCTCACTGCTTTTGCTCCACCTGAAGCCTCTGTTGATGACAAAGCAGTTAGGAATAGAAGGAAATCTTTATCATAGGAATGGAGACAGAAAAAAATTCAGATCACCTTTGAATGCAAAGATGGTTTTTCTCAAGCATTCCATTAACCTGCTTTGTCCCCTGTGTCAAGCCCAGACAGGGAACAAGTAAGGAGATATTATCATTATTATGTCTCACTTCTGTAGATTTAAACATTCAGATGACATTTTACAAAATAAACAGAGGTCAAGGGCTTGCCCTAGAGAGCTGGCTGTGACATACAAGACAAGATCATGGAGAGAGAGGGCAAATTCAAAGGAAGTGTGCAGTCCTAGGATTCCCTGTCAGTGCAGCTGCCTCTGCCTCCTTCAGCAGCTGATTTTTTTTGATATTGAACTAGTGCTGGTAGGAGAGGGGGCTCAGACTCAGGTCTATGTGCAGGCACCCACTACTCAGGGACATTCAATCCCCTTCTGTCAATGCCTTTTTTAGGATAAAAATTATTTGAGAAAGGGCTAAAGTAGACAAGAGATTTACAGGAGTGCAGAATGCAAGGCAGTGCAGTCAACACTTACCAGATCCTTGCAAAATCATGGAATTCCATTAAATGACCCCAACCACTTAAAACTGAGCTTGTTACTGGCTTTCTCGTATTCCAAGGACAAGTTGAGATTTCACTGAAAACCTTGGGGAAAACACTGCCTTGGTTCTGTTTTGTTCAGTCTTCAGTCTTCAATAGCTGGGATTTTTGAGTCAGTTTTTGTGAACATCTGGATTACCCAAATTATCTACATCTTTATCAGACAAAGGAAGATAATAATAATGAGAAGGCTCAGAGCTGGGTGCCTGGAAATAAGGCTGGAGTCACAGCTTTCTACCACAATAAAAAAAAATCATTAAAACCTTTAAATGGCATCTTTTGTTCCAGTCAGAGTCCCTTGCACATGTACCAGTGGAAGTCATCGCCTTCCAAATACACACAGGAGCTGATGGAAATTTTGTTATGGCCCAATGATGCAGAAAGAAACTGGCAGTGAGATTTAACAAGGTCACTTCAAGGCACAGAAACCTCTGTGAAATATGCTCATTCCCCACATGGCCAGGGAGGTGAGGGATAAACCTTTCACTTATAGGAAATAGTGATTTACTATTAATTTACAGAAGAAGGAAATCCTTTTTTAATCAAAATAATTTATAGGGTTAATCTAAAGGCAGTGTTTGCTCGCCAGAACAGAAACCAAGGCAAGGTGAAGATGGATGGGGTTTGTCCATGGGATTTGAATCAGCTCAGCACAGGAGGGCCTGTAGTCAAGGATACCTGTATTATTTATGGCCAGGGTTTTCAAAAGGGAATAGATGGCCTCGGATCCCCTGGGTTTGGTCGCCCAACGTGTGACCTGTGCAGAGTACCAGCCTCCTTGAAAAAACAGCCTTTTGAAATCCTGTTTCCCACTATTTCCTTCGGGAATCCGTAAGATTTGTTGTATCTGGTGCTTGTTGCTGGTTGTAGATGGGCTGAAATCCAGGATTCCCCAATTGAATGCTGCTGGATTGCAACTGAGCACGGCTGAACCCAGCAAGGAGCAGAGGAGCCTGCAAATTCCACAGGGAAAAAGGGTTTAAACAAATGTTGGTTTGGGGGTATTTTTTTCTGGTTGTTTTTTGGGAATGTGTGGCTGCAGTAGGTGACTGAGTGATGCTGGTTTTGCCCCGATGAGGAGTGATTGCTCCTCTGCTCCCCTGTTCCTGGCTATGGGAGAGGTGCTCAGTGCTACACAGGACCTGGCTCTCAGGATGTAATCCCACGCTTCAGCTTCGAGTTAATTTGATCTCACATCTGCTGCTTATTAAATTAATGCTGGATGGTTCCCTAAAATGAGCACTACAGATTTTTATAGCATATCACAGGTGCTCAGGTGCTGCACTGAGGGTCAGGCCACTGAAAGCAAAGCAGGGAACTGTACAGGAGTCCACACAACCATGGGAAAATACAGTGTGGTTTGTCACTGGAAAGGCTGACAATTGCTGAGGAAGAGATGAGATAAGAAAAACAAGACAAGTTGAGTTTGGTACTACACTGATGTTATTTATAATCTCACTACAGACCTAATTTCTCTTGTGACTGTAATCCTCCCCATTTGCAGCAAGCAATTTATTATATTGGAAGATATTTGAGATGCTTTGGGAGTAGTGAAATTATTATACATAAAATATGTAGCTAATACTATTAGAATAGACTTTGATTAATTTTGCAGCTGGCAACACTACCCGTGCCTGAAAATTAAATCCATTTGCTATCCGTGTGGAAGTAATTGTGTTAATATCAAAGCTAGTTTTAAACTGAAATGGGGAGAGCTCTATTCCATGTCTCCCATGCAAGGAATCAGGGATGAGAGATGAAGGGCTAGAGTAATAATTTGTTGCTAGCACAAGGAATTATCCTTTTCTCCACAAAATTTTCAAGACTTCAACAGAGTTTTTTAATGATATATTTAAGGTATATTCAAGCATATAGATAAATTCAAGTGACCTCATCTCAGTCTCACCTTTGATTTGCAATATTGCCCGTGGGGCAGAGACTAATATTTGTATTTGTACTACATGTTTGTACAGCACCAAGCACAGCAGAGCCCTGTTCTCATGGGCAGGTTCATCACCCCGGTAAATACCGACAGCAAAGATACGTGCCCAAGCCAGAAATATCTCAGTCTAATTACACTGGAGTGATTTTGAAAAGCAGTTGGACAAGATTAAAGAGACAGCTTTCGTTAATTAAAGACTGTTTGGGCTTCCGGTGCTGTAATGATCCCAGCTGGCCCCGTGTCCTCCACCTCTGGCTGCAGCTGGGCTTTGCATATCTCCCTCTTTATTTCTCCTGTTAAAAGTTTTCCTCCCTGCAGCCTGTTTGCTGGAACGCAAGGCTTCTCTCCTCCTCCTCCTCCGAAGCAGGAGGTGGGCAGGTCTAACTACATTAAATATACAAACATACTGTGCTCACTCTCTGCTTCAGAGGCATCAGTGGCCCATCAGCATCAAAATCCGAGCACAGGCTGCCCGAAGGGCTGGGGGAAGGCTGAAAACAGCAGCAGCAGCAGCAACAAATAAAGCGAGCAGTCAAAGCGCCCGGTAGGAAAGGGGAGAGGAGCAGCAGGAGAGCCCAGGGAGGTTGGGCATTCCGGACTCTTTACAGGAGCTCTCTGCAGCCCTTACGCATCACTTGTGAGTGTACGAGCATCAGTGTCCCAGGAAAGAGCATCTTTCCAGGAGCAAGAGCTGGAAATCTCTCAGAAGAGAAAAGGAAAAAAAACCAAAGCACCAGCTGTTATCCCTTCCCTGAGGGAGAGAGAGTGAAAGGAGCTTAGGGGAATGAACCTGGAGGATCCAGAGACTCAGAGTGGAAAAGTTGCCCTGACGGGAGACTCTGCGTACTAGAGCTCTGCTCCACGATGGGATTTCTTGTGCCTAAAGGAAATCTCCTCCTCCTGCTGTGTGCCAGCATTTTCCCTGGTAAGTTTGAGAAAGCTTTTCTCCCCTGCTCTGCTCTGTAGCTCTTTTCTCCCTTATTCCTCTCAAAGACACGCTGTGGAGACCGGTCTCTGTCAACAAGGAATTTCCCTGACTCCTCCATCCTCCTGCCCCATCATTTCTGGTCCCCTGAACACCAGCCTCTGCTGAGCAATGCTTTGCCTTTATTTTCTGCTCCTTGTATGAAAGGGTTAAAGCCGCGGTGGAAAGGGGACAGGAGGGAGAACCCAGGCAGGGGCTCAACATCCTGCTTCTTGCCAGGGTTTTTCTTCCCTGGGTAAAGTGTGTTAATGTGTCTCGAGGCTACATCCCCGGCTGCGGAGAGCACAGCCAGCGCTCAGCTAATGCTTCCCTTTGTATAATCCAGGGCAGATAAAGACTAAGTAGAAGCCATATTCCACGAGGGACGTGGGGAGAGCCCCCGGGTCCCTCTCCCCGCTGTCTGCTACAGCCGGCACAGGAGCGCAGCTCCTCCGACAGCCCCTGCGTGAAACGTGGCTTCAATTTTTAATAACCAGCAGGCACCTCCGACAGTTCCTGTAGCCTACGTGCAGGATCAGGGCTGCTCCTTGCAGCCTCCAAGTTTTAAAGTTGTGCCTGAGAATAACTGCAGTCTTGTTATCCAACCTGTGCTCTCCCCTGTCCTCCTCCTTCCCCCTTAGTTTTTGTGAAATTACAGCTATGAAGGTTAAAGAGCTGAATTTCAGTCTCCTTTTTTTTTTTTTTTTTTTTCTGATGCATTTGGTGCCAGTTTTAATGTATAAATATGATCCAAACCCCCTATCTCCCAGCAAGAGGCTGCTTTTTCCTTTTAGGCTTGCCCTTCTAGTATCACTCTTTCCTGCTTGCAGACTTCAGCGCTAGAAACTTGCCATAAAGTGACCATAAAAATTAGATTCAGGGAAGAATGGCCCATGTAGTGTTTTCCAAATGTGGTATTATTGGTGGCCATGCTGTGTTCAGACCAGTCCTGCTCTGCAATGGAAACCCAACATTAGGAATTGGCCACTGTGGGTGAACAGAGTGAGAAATACACGGAGATGTATAGCAGGATGTCAACTCACCCGGGTGATATCATGTGTCCCCATGTGCCTGTTGCTGGGGTTTGCCACAGTTTCCCCCCCAGAAGGAGCTGGTTGTCTGGAGCCAGAGAAGGCTCCAGCTGTGCCAGCCCTTGGAGCTGCAGGTGTTTTATGCTGCTGTGCCCCGTTCCTTCCCTGCAGCCTTCAGCCATGTGGAGACCCGAGCCCACGCGGAGGAGCGGCTCCTGAAGAAACTCTTCTCTGGTTACAACAAGTGGTCCCGTCCCGTGGCCAACATTTCGGACGTGGTCATTGTCCGCTTTGGCTTGTCCATCGCCCAGCTCATCGACGTGGTGAGTGCAACCCGTTGGTTTTGTGTGACAAGAGGCCCAGAGTAGCCAGGCTGGGGCTTGGGGAGAGGCTCTTGGTGCATGTGGGTTTTACTGGCTGATCCAGAGTTGGGTTGGGAAGACTTTGCTTTCAGCAGAGAATAGTGATTGTGCAGCCAGCTCTGCTGAAAGAAGGCATGACTCATGTGAGTAGCTGGTCATCAAAGTGGATCCTTTATTCTTCATTTACTATATCCTAAATTCCCTATCAAAAACCCATGGGACTGATTACAGCAGAGCAGAGGAGCAATTGGCATAAATGCCAGAGAATTCTGGCTAAGGAGAAGATTAAATACCTCACTTGGAATTTGAGCCATAATTACTAATTTACACCAGCTAATGGGAACAGTGCTTTGCGTACCTTGGGAAGAGACCTTGCTGAAGAATTTTCTGCAAATTAAAGTTTTGAGGGCTTTTAGCTAATCTGGCAGATATTAACGAGAAAATTGTTTCTGAGTGTTTGCTCAAATAGAAGTTACACGTGTGCAAACTGCATGTGCTCTGTACGGAATGACGTGGTCTGCAAGCAGACTGATGTGCACTGAAATGGTATTTAAGGGATTATTCTGTCACAGTATGTTGAGGTCAAGTGTTGGGTCCACAGGACAGCCCTGCAGGGCTGCAGATGTCAGGCACAGTCACAGGCTTTACAGCCTGTGCAGATCTTGCTCCCACATGCTTCTCCTTCCTGTCTCTGCACCTGGCACTTCCCAGGACAGCGTGTTTGGGCACCTGCACGTTTCTTGAGCAAGTTCAGCCTGTCTTTCAGAGAATCACAGAACAGTTTGGGTTGGAAGGGACCTTTAAAGGTCATCTAGTCCAACCCCCTTATTTTTCAGAGGAGGAGGCTCCCTGACATTTTTTACTGTGTTGATGTGGCAGAGTAAAAGAAGTGATAATGCCCCATCCCTGGAAGTGTTCAAGGTCAGGTTAGACAGGGATTGGAGCAACTTGGTCTAGTGGAAGGTGTCCCTGCCCATGGCAGGGGGTAGAATGAGATGAGTTTTAAAGTCTCGTCCAGCACAAACCATTCTGTGATTTCTACGATAAAGGAAAATATAATGCGACTTCAAGACATTACTTCTGTGGGACAATCATAACAGATGACTCTCCACACCATGACATATTTTGAGATCACAGTTTTGAGATGCAACGGACACAGAGCCAAGGTGTTGCAGGAGGTGGGGAATCAAAGACACCAGTTGCTGGTGAGTTGCATCTCCTTGGGCAGAAGCCATCAACGTTCAGCTTTGCAGCACAGAAATGGTCTTCCATTCTCCTCCTCGCTCTTACATCAGCCTGAGGGATCCAGGGCTGTTTGCAGTTGCTAATGTTGAAGTGGTACAGTTCTCATCTGAATAATTGATAAGACTAAAGATGAGACATTAGTGACTGTGGAAGCATGAAAGAGATTTTCCATTATGCAGCTGCTGAACTGTGGAAGGGTGGGATCGATACACCTGCTCCATAGTGCCTTCCCAGTTTACTTAGGAAGAATTAATCTTCTTAAAATCATGTCAGTGGTTAGAAGTGCAACTCACAGGCAGATCTGTGCTGAGGCCTGTGGGCATGGCTGGAGGAGAAGTCTCAGCCCCTCCTGCCCCAGTCTGTGTGGTTGGGACTGGTGACACCCCTGCCACCACTGCGGCACTTCAGCTGTGTCTCTCCCTTCCCGACAGTGACAGTTTTGGTGCAAACCCTGCTGCAATTGTTAGACCCAATGTTCAGCTCCCAAAGACAAGGAGTCTGAAAGAGAAATCAGAGCTGTATTCAAACCCCAGCTCCTGCTGACAAAAGCTGGGGGCAGGGGAACAGAAATCAATGGGGAACTTGACATCCCTGCATGTCCTTACCTCACCCTGGCATGCTGAGGGTTTTCTGAGCCCACAAATAAGTGGTGAGGGATCAAGCATGTGCCCAGGAGCAGCCACTGAGAGGCACACTTGGATTCCTAAGCCTGTTTCTCTTCAGGACCTCACCTACTGTGTTCACCTTGAGAAAAGGGGCCAGGCAGTGCAATCCCCCCATGGCTGCAGAGTCACTGCTGTTCTCCAGGCTGGCTCTGTGAGGAGCAGACAGCTGTGCTAGTGGCACTTGGTCATCAGCACATTGCAAACCTCCCTCCTGAGATAAACCCATGGGACTGGAGTCATGCTGCACTCAGGTCAGCAGGATGGCAGAGCCTCAGGTGTGATGGGCAGGAACTTCCACCAAGGGTGGTTCCAGAGAGAAAATTTTCAAAAAAGGACAGCACCTGAGAGACTGGGGCTGTGGTGGAGACCCTCAGGTGCTTGAACTGCAAAGTGGTAAGAGAAGCAGATGTTCAAGGATCGGTCCAGTCCAGGGTGTGCAGCCTCCTCCAGTGACATTCCTCATCTCCCATCAGCACCCAAGGAAGTAGCTGGATATTTTGTCTTCCTTTGTTGCTCATTGGAGTGGTTTTTTATGTTTCTCCTTCCTCCATGCCACTCTGGTTCCTAACCCCCGAGGAGAGTATCTCTGATCAGGTTTTACACTTGGTGCACCACAGCAGTGAGGGGGCTCAGGAAGGAGGAGGCACAGCTCCTCCCAAACCTCCTGGTACTTAATGTTCACAATCAATCCTGTACTGCCACAAGAGCAAGGTTAATGATGAGCAGTTTGCTTCCAAATGAGCCCTGCCAATTCAGCTGGGTTTGATGCCAACCAAAGAAGGAGAGAAAAGAAATAAACACACAAATAAGCTCTGAGCTCTGGTGTGACACTTTAGTCAGAGCAGCACTGGGCTCTGCCCTGGGTAAGTCATTTCAGTTACTTATAGAAATGTTGTAACAAACACAAAAGGCAAGCAGCAAGCAGTAATTAACTCTACTACAGTGCTACCAGCATTATATCTGCCCTATATTTTTAAAATATATATGTGTACAGTCATACCTTTCCATACTATTTCTAGTTAGAGTCAGGAAAAAAATCTACCTGTTGGCAGAATGGGAATACCCCAGGCTGTCCAAGTGTTCCATGTCAGCAGAGCAGCTTGGATTTATTCAGAAAATCCAATCCATATGCTCTCCTTCCTCTATTTGGTAAAATTAAAACCACTGTTGAGCTTCTGGTTTCCAGAGCTGTGTTCATGGGTAACATTTCACAGGAGAAGTACTGAACACCACTTGCAGATGAAGCTGAGCATTGTAATCCACCACACTTGTGAGCAAGGGTGTATATATCCAGAACTCCCTTCCTTCCGTGCACAGGTCAAAGCCAGGCTGTGGAGGTTTCTCCTCTACCTGGCATCATTGTCCTGGGCTGAATCCATCAGCACTGAGGAAAATCCCAACAAATTCCAGTCCATCTGCTCACAGGATTGCTTAGGTGCAGGCTCAGCTGTTCGGTGGTATCAGGCAGCTGTGCCCTGTCCCATGTCAAATGACAGAAACATCTGCTTTTTATTTCCAGGATGGGCCTTACATTTATTGCAGAGGTGATTTGTAATTACAGAAATGATGTACAATTAAGAGAAATTTAATGAGTCCTTCGGGCTGCTTCGTCTGCTTCCGTAACCAATATCTGATCTTGCATTTCAGGATGAGAAAAATCAAATGATGACCACGAATGTGTGGGTGAAGCAGGTGGGTGTGACCAAATATGTATATTTTCGTGTTCCATTTCAGTTTTGTGACTGAACCCTCACAGCTTTGTAACCACCTCATTTTTGGCAGGAGTGGCACGACTACAAGCTGCGCTGGGACCCCCAAGAATACGAAAATGTCACATCCATCCGAATCCCCTCGGAGCTCATCTGGAGGCCAGATATTGTCCTTTACAACAAGTGAGTGTGGGCACCGTGGCCAGAGGGCAAACCCATCCTTGCAAATTTTCTCTGTTCGTGGTGTTAAAATGCTTCTTGCAATTATTCCTCTTTAATTTTGTCCTTTGTGGTTGGATTTCATGCAGATTCTATAATATCTGTCCCAGACGTGCCTTAAATGATGTGGCTGACATTCATTGCAAGGGCTTTGCTCTCCTAATGATCCTTTCTCTGGGCAGTGAGTTTTGTTAGGGGATGCCAGGTATTGTTTTCTCTTCACATGTCAGATGCACAATTGAGCTGGATTTGAGCTTTCAGTCCTCTTAGATTTCACTTCACCCAGGAGCTCTCCCCTAATTCATCACCATCAACTGGAAAAGCCAATTACTGAGGATGGGCTTAAATAAGGAAAATATGCTGAAACGTGTCAGGCTTGTGTGTCTACAAATAGCAGTGTCAGGTCAGCCAAATACCATTCTAGAATGATTCCTAGAATGATTCATTCTAGAATGAAACAGGTATTTGTTCCTCATCTCAGATGATTGGAACCTCTCTCTTGTATGGACACTTCTTAGGGAGCAGGTGATGGTTTTCTTTCTTTCCTTTGGAGCCTGTTGATATTCTTAAAAAGATTGCCCAAGTGCCCAGACTGTTTTCTCCTAGGCTTATTATACCACAGCTCTCCAGTCTCCTAGGATGTTGGATATACCAATTTCCCACCCCAGCACAGGCTCTAGAGAAAACGCTGCAGGCATCAAACAAAAACATCTTAGTATGTGGCTTACACTCAGAGAAAACACTCACAGCAGCAGCCAGGCTTGTTTTTAATAAACAGTTGCCTGGTTCTAACTTGATATGATTTTGCTTCTGTTTAAAAAAAAAAATAAATGGCTGAAGCAGGAATCTGCCCAGGGAATTTTGAGCTCTGGAGACTACAGGAACTGTTATCTTTCCCATTAGCTCGTTTCTGATCCTCAGTGGTGTGGAGTGATTGCAAACCTCTTGGAAACCACTGTATCCCCACTCAGCGCCTTTCAGAGATTAGCCCAATGGAAATGACTAATTCATAGGCACTTGGACCTTCCTGCCTTACAGGGACACACTCTGAGCATGAATATTGTATTACAAATGCCTCACACTGCAGCCAAGAAAGGTGTTCACAGCTTCCACTGGAAAAAAAAATTGAATGTCCTTGTCATTCTCACTGCTTAATTAATGACGTTGGCAAGAATTATTATTTCTGGAGCTTCTGGTGGTTGTTGTGGTGGACCATGGTGCCAAAGGAAATAGCATGGCACAAATCTCCACGGGCCCTTTGTGCTTCAAACCATTCATTTGCTGGATGGTGCCCAAGAGCCTGATGTGTCATCTCTGCTTCTGCTCCCTTGGCTCACCAGGCTCATCACAGCTGATGAGCATGGGCCATGCAAGGAGGGGCCTAGAAATGAAGAATCATAGAATCCTAGAATGGTTTGAGCTGAAAGAGATCTTAAAAATTTTCTGATTCCAACCCTCTGCCATGAGCAGGGACCTCTTCCACTAGACCAGGATGCTCCAAGCCCCATCCAGCCTGGCCTTGAATGCTCCCAGGGATGGTGAGGCCTCCAGAAGGAGACCTTGGTATCCTTTTGTGTTTTGGGCATTTTGGGACTTCATGCTGAAGGCATCCCCCAGAGGTCCATGGGCACTCAGACCTCCAAGCTGGGTACCCCTACATGCTCTGCCCCTCTGCTCTGTTCTAGTTCACTGTCACTTGAGCATCATCAGGGACTCCAGGGAGCCCTGGAGTCAGAGCAGCTACTCCAGAATGTCCTTCTTACCCTCTCCTGGGGCACAAGCCTTTCAGCCTTGCCCACCTCATTGCTCTGACTTGCAGGAGGTTGGGCAGGTAGCAAATCTAACTGTACTGGGGACCTGCTGCCACAAAGGGGAGTTCTAGTGCCCCAGCTACCCAAATCCAAGCTGCTTCTCTCCCTTCATCCATACTTATCATTAATAATCATGCCTTCCTCTGTTGGTTGTCATGAGTCTATCATGCATTTTTAATTGGTTCCTTTATCCATGAATTAAACATGGATGTAGACACCATCCATTAGCCAGTCAGTAATGGTTTTCCATTAATTCTATACCTCTTTACAGCTATATTTCCCCGTGCTCTTTCATACAGCCTTATGTGAACTGTTTTCTGCCCTGGGATGTACTTCTCTCTTCTACCTAACTTCCTACCAAACACATCTGGAGCTGCAGTCAATGTCTTAGTTGCACTGCTGTGTCAGGTTTCACATTTTTTAGGGATTGCAGGACAATACATGCAAGGCAAAACCTGTAGCATGATGGGACACCAAGATGAGGCTCTTCTGCACAGCAGCTCACCAGCTGCATTACCAGCCAGGGCTTCTCCTTGTGGGCATAGAAATGACAGTGACTGCTCCTGGGTGATGCTAACAAGGATTCCATCTTATATTTTACATGCATATATAGTTTAGAGGGAATTTAACATAGGTGCAGGGAATTCTGGGTCTCTAAGAGTAAGAGAATGTGCAAAGGAACTTTGGTGGAGGAGAGCAAGTGGCCACGTTGGCCTTTTGCACTCTTCAGGCCTTTTAACATGACCTAATTAATGCTTGCCACATGGTATTTGTGTTTGGGGTGGAATCCTTTGGAAAAGAGACATTCTGGGCAGGAGATTATACAAATGCCCCTTCTGTTTTTATTTTGTGTTATATATATAAATGGTAGAATTTAAATTGATTTCAGATTTACATCGTTAAGGAAATCTAACCCCTTGTGGTGAGGTTATTCTCATATCTTGGCTCATTATTGTTGAAAACCCTCCATTTACCCACTCCAGAGGCCCAAATTAAATCAGTAAACTCAGTTGGTTTGGCCTAGAGAGTATATGTAGTTGTCAACACTCATAAGGAATCTAAAACCAAATTAATATCCTACAGGGAAATTAATATGCTGTTGAATTTTCAGGCTTGATGAGACAAGTTTCAAGACTCTGTAAATAGTTTCTGCTAGATGTGATATAACATATGCATAACAGAGGAATATGAGTTCATGGTGAAGTGACAAAGCCTCCTCTTTGCCAAGAAAACTGGCTGTTCCTTATCTGAGGTTGTAAAGGCTCTTCAGGCACCACCAAATCATTTATAAATGAATTATCTAATCCTCTGCATTGATTTATTTTCCCATTCATTAATGGATTTGAAGAACATTTTATTTTTTTTTAACATATTTGAAGTAAAAAAAAAAATATTTTTCTCTAAAAAGGCAATAAGCTCTTGGGGCTGCATTTTTTTTTTCTTCTTTACCAGTGTTTGAGTCCCTTGGCCACTGTGCAACATAGGAGCTCCAGAGCAGAAACCCCTGAAAGTGCAGGTTTGCATCCAGGTGCTCCAGATGCTAAAGGCTGCCCAGGAAAATCCAAGACATGTCCTTGAGATTAATGGATGGGCAGGGAACTTGAAACGTGAGCTTCACTGCCTGTTTTTCCACTGTGTATTTGTGGTAGCATCATAGCATTTGTCTTCTCTAGCCTGATTGTAAAACCTGGGAATGCTGAGAATTCTAAAGTCCTCGGTATTTTCTGGTGTTAAGTGTTCCAGAAAATAATCCCTGCCTTAGACTCCACAGTCACAAAAAGTAAAATAAAATAAAATAAAATAAAAGATCTGACGTGAAGGGAAATCAAACACAAAATTCTGTAATTAGGAGTAGGAAATATCTTGAGGAATTCACCCAGTGGTAAAATGGACACAAAGGATTACTGGGCTGGGTTAGATGACCATCTGGCAGGCAGCTTTTGAAAACCATGAGAAAGCAAAGAGTCCTTTTGAACTGTACTGCAGCAGCTTGTTCTTTTGAACTATTCTGTGATGTTTACAACCAGTTTTATTTCTGGAGTAATGCTGGTTTCATGACTCATCCAAAGCTCTTTGGAGGAGAAATACCAAAAGATGCCCCAGTCTAACCTTTAAAATATTGGAAACATTCTTGACATTTTTCTTTGTGTGTGCTGGCACAGATCTCATCATTGTGCACCAGATTGTACTTAACTTACAATAGGCCAAAAATCACTACTTCACACTTCAGCTTCCCTGATTCTTCTGGGAGTTCCAGTGACTGTAATTCTGGAGAGGGATTATATCTTTAGATGCTTTGAGGTTTTCTGCCAAGCACTATCCAGTAATACAGGAACTGATGCAAAGAAATCTATAGGAGGGATCTCTCTCCTGGGCTGTTGCTGTGTTCCCATCCAAGGGCTTCTCCTACCACTATGCTGAGGACAGAGCTGGAGTTTTGCCTTCAAAGTGCTGACAAGGATCTTTGGCAAAGGGAAGAATTGGAGCAAAATGCACCAATTCAGCACTGTTGGAGCCTTCTGAGAGACTTGTGCTCGTTCCATGGGCGTAGCACAGCCGTTTCTGAGACAGATGCCTATTTTGCTGAGGGACAATCAAAGTGTTGGTTATCACCAGTTTCTAAATATCTAAATCAAGCAAAAGCTGGGATGTGACCCAAAGAAGTAACATCAGTGACAGACACTTCCATCTGTGTACCCAAAATGTTTTTTATCCAATTTGCCAAGACCTTGGATATATTTAAAACCCAACCGGATGAGATCCTGGTCCTCTTGTAGCTGATCCTGCTTTGGGCAGGGAGCTTGAACCAGACAATTCCAGAAGTTCCTTCCAACCTGTGCATTTGTAGTTATAACTTTGGTAGCAGAAAACAATTGTTTAAAACTATGTTTTCTGGCTTGCCTTTGGAGACAATTTTAATCAGAATATTACAGAAGTGTCTCTTCAGTGTGTACTGAAAGGGTGCTGAGTACATTCTTTACAGGGGTCTTAAAACCACAATTTTTCTTGGCTCCTGCCGGTTGATGAAAAATGCTTTAAATGAGGATATTCTACTTTATCCATATATGTATATCGCTAATTTTCAGGCTTTTAAAGCTCTGTTTGGATTTAAATTTTATCATCAGAAGTTAAAATAAATGTGTGCCTCATTTACATGCATTCTGAAAACGTTTAATTTTGAGAGATGATGTATCTCCCAACTACAGGAAAATAGAAACTGACACACACACAAAAAAGAAAAATTCTCCATTAGCAGAGCTTTTTAATGAAACATGGATGATGGCTGCCAGTAAAACAATGCCATCCTTGAACCCTTATAAACTTAGGAGATTTAGGAGAGCAGCCTTTATTCTCAAAATGAGAAATCCAAGGCTGCAGCACACAGTACAGCTTTTTCCTTGGGAGAAAAATAAGCAACTGTCTTTCTTGCCGTGCAGTGTTGTATTTGGCAAAAAAAAATGTGAGAGCTCCAGTACTTTATTACTGATATATTTTTAAAGCTGTCAGGTCAGAGTAATCAGGAGAGTCTGACTATCTTAGTTCTCCAGATCTTGTGATGTTTACCTTGCACTCATGCCTTCTTCCAAATGGTTTTTCATGACAACTGTCACAACAGAGTGGTCTTGACTAAACGAGATGAAAATGTGCTACTGCTATAAAGGAATGGCTTCAGATTTTCTCTGTCCCACTATATCAGGTCTCCCACCTTCCTGCCTAAGGAAATATTCACATTTGCAGTCAGGGCTGTCGGCACAGGAATGGGTCTTCCCACAGCAAAGCTGTCCCCAAGGAAACAGGGTTTCCCCAGTCTCGTAACTGCAGACTCTGCTTGCAGTTGGTTGTCTCACCTTTATACCCTGGAGGAGACTGAGAAAAGACTTTGGAAGACTGTCAACAGCCAGGTGACCCTGTTTGCTCCCTCTCTCATGTGGGGAGAAGCAGAATGAAAGTCTCACCCAGGATGAAAGCATCTCTCTGGGCTCGCACCCGAGAGAGCATCTCTGCAGGTTCCCCCTCACCGGCAGGGTGCCAGCAGGAGCAGCTTCCAGTCCAGTAAACATATGTTTGAAGGTCCAATGTGGGTGGTAAGCTTGGGGAAGGAGGCAAAAATATATATACATGCATGAAGGGTTAAGATAACTGAGAACACTGCCTTTGCATGTCATAGCTGGCTGGAATACAGTCTATGTACACAGCACGGCTAATTTACCCTGCTTACAAACTCCTCTGCGTTGAACTGCAATGAGAAGTTCAAACACACCCAGTAGAGTCAGGAAATACTTCACAGCCCTGTTAGGTTGGTGAAGCAGGAGGATCCCGGGGTGGTTTATGGCTCCTAAAAGTCAACAGCTGACTAAATCTAAGAAGCTGTTCTGCTGCTGGTTTCACTCCTGCCTTGGCAATGCAGGCAAGACCCAGCCTGGAAGGCAGTACCAGTGTAATTTGTAATAACTTGTGAGCCAAAGAGGACCCAGGATGAGGCTGGGTTTTTTAGGCAAGCAATAAACAAATACATTCCTCATCAAACATGCAGATTATTTACAGAAATAATTGACATACAAATCTGCAGCACCACACTAGTTCCATCTACACTTGCGGAAGAGGTATGTGGCTGGTCACACAGAGGCTGCAAAACTGCCAGGCAAGGGGACTAAAACACAATTACATGAATTTATGATTCCTGGATGACCTTTTAAGAAGAGTTTCATGCCCTTTTCCAACAGTTTGCCAAGGAAAAATGCACACCTCTGTTGTTTCCCCAGCCACTTACACATTGTTCTACCTGACAAGTGAACCACTAGTGGATGCTCATAATCCCTTTTCTGTAATAAGATCCAATTATAAACATTGTTCTATTAATGAGCGATTTAATCATGCCTCAGAGATATCATTAAATGCAGAATTGGATTCCATATTCCTATAGAGATTTAGAAAGAAAACCACTGAGAAGAGCAAACTCTGGACTGTCACTTGCTGTGCATGTTTCATGTCTCAATCTGGCTTTACAGTGCAGGCAAAACCCAGGGGAAAAAAAAAAAAGAAAAAGAGGTGGTTTTCATCCAAAGCACATGTTCTCAGGGTGTAAATTAAATTTAGGAAAGAAGAGGTAAGAAAGGAGCTGGGTGGATTGTACAGTGGTATTTCTCAGGTTTATTTGCTTTGGAGTAACTCACGGTGCTCCCTTAATCCCTTTGAGACAATCTGGGTTTATACATAGTTTTTGCTTTCCTTTAAAAAAAATAAAAATAAAAGGCATTTTCGATCTTCAGAAATAATCCAGTTTAGAGATAAAAAAAGCACTAGGTCCTCTTGTATCCTTTTGTTTCTGTAAAATCTGCCACAAAGCACAAAGACTTTCCATTAGAGAAACAAAGAAGAGTTTAGTAAAACCACACACGAATGTTGGGTTTATTTTTTTCCATTAATTCAACCAACCTAGAAAACTATCTCAAGAGAAAGAGGTCTGGGCTGTGATCATGGGGACTGGGGGCATGTTCTACCTCTGACCAGATACCACGTTGACCAAGCAGCTCAGTGAGGGCCAGACCCTGCCACTATTTCCCAAAATGAACTATACTACACCAGGCTCATTTTTAGGATGTTTCACAGAGCAAGAAGGAATATGTGATGCAAGCTATGATGCACTGGAACAGTTTGCTCAGTTGTTCCAGGCCGAGCTGATGGGGTTTGGAGCAACCTGGTCTAGTGGAAGGTGTCCCTGCCCATGACAGGGAGTTGAAACCATATGGTATTTAAGGTCCTTTCCAACCCGAATAATTCCATGATTGTCTGATTGTCTGAAATGTCAAAAAGTCCTTTTTCACCCTTTTGCATATGAATGAATTGGTGTTCTCCTAAAGAAATGAATTTAGGGAAGTTCCTCTGTGTTCTGCAGCTTAGGGAACGGATCCTGCCAGATCATTCCTATGTTGTTCCTCTTGCTACTGGTGAGAAGTAGCAGAGGTGAGACCCCTGCACACCCTGTCACTGTATGGCTGCTGTCAGGGCACATCTGGGTACTGAAGCAGCAGAGCAGGGCCAAGGGATTTTGCCAACTGCTGGGAAAGCAGCTGCAGGCTGGGCCAGCTCCTGCAGGAAGGGCTGGGCAGGAGCAGAGAGCTTTCTGTCTGTATCAGCCTGAATAATTCATCTCAAGTTTTTAGCAGAAGCTCTCTTCCCCTGCTCAGCTTCCCCTTTGTCTGGCAGAGCTGCTGTTTGTGACTCAACTTCTTCCTCCAAAAGCCTGGAAAATGGCTTTCTGATACAAAATCCTGGGCTGTTATCTATTTATCCTGTACTGCTACACAGAACCCGACTGAGAGTCCCTGTAAGGAGACACCATAAAAGACAGTTCTCTTCCTGACTGGGAAATCAAGAGATTGACTTCCATTACTCCTATTAATAGGATGCTCTTGCTGGTTTTCATGTAAGAGACCAAACAATTACCCAACATTGTTTCATTTTTAGCAGCTGTCACAATTAATTCTGCAGAGCTCACAGCTACACTGCCTGAGAGTGCTTCCTCCCAGCCCTCTAAAGCAAACTCAGCCCATTCCAGGGCACTTAAAACTTGTGCACAATCACCTCAAAGAACTGACTTACGTCAGGTAAAGGCTGACACTGCATGGAAATTCAGGGCTTGTATAAGCCAACAGAGTTCACAATCCACTGGACAGAGCAGATGGATCCAGTGTTTGCACACAACGTGCTTCTTGAATCTCTGTCAGTGTATTTTTGGAAGCCAGGCACTAAATATCCTATTTCTTTAGCAGAGTTGACACGTCCTAGAGAAGTCTCAGTCTTTTTTGATCTTCCATCTCTCCCCAGTGCTGACGGTGACTTTGCAGTCACCCACCTGACCAAGGCTCACCTCTTCTATGATGGGAGAATTAAATGGATGCCACCTGCTATATATAAGAGCTCCTGCAGCATCGATGTCACCTTCTTCCCCTTTGACCAGCAAAACTGCACCATGAAGTTTGGCTCCTGGACCTATGACAAAGCCAAGATAGACTTGGTGAGCATGCACAGTCATGTGGACCAGCTGGACTACTGGGAGAGCGGGGAATGGGTCATCATCAACGCCGTGGGCAATTACAACAGCAAGAAATATGAATGCTGCACAGAGATCTACCCTGATATAACTTACTCCTTCATTATCCGGAGGCTGCCGCTGTTCTACACCATCAATCTGATCATCCCCTGCCTGCTGATCTCCTGCCTGACTGTCCTGGTCTTCTACCTGCCCTCCGAGTGTGGAGAGAAGATAACCTTGTGCATCTCCGTGCTGCTGTCTCTGACTGTGTTCCTGCTGCTCATCACAGAGATCATCCCATCTACCTCCTTGGTCATCCCTCTGATTGGGGAGTATCTTCTCTTCACCATGATATTTGTTACCCTGTCTATCATCATCACTGTCTTTGTGCTCAACGTGCACCATCGTTCCCCACGTACCCACACGATGCCTGACTGGGTGAAGAGGGTCTTCCTTGACATAGTCCCACGTATCCTTTTCATGAAACGCCCCTCCACAGTGAAAGACAATTGCAAGAAGCTCATTGAATCCATGCACAAAATAACCAGCGCACCGAGGCTTTGGTCCGAGATCGACGTGGAACCCAACTTCACTACCTCATCTTCCCCCAGCCCCCAGAGTAATGAGCCTTCACCCACATCTTCCTTCTGTGCCCACCTCGAGGAGCCAGCCAAGCCTCAGCCTGTCTGCAAGTCACCTTCTGGGCAGTACTCCGTGCTGCACCCAGAGCCTGTACAGGTGACCTGCTCATCTCCACAGCCCTCATGCCACCCCCTGAGTGACACCCAGGCCACCTCTGTCTTGAAAGGCAGATCACTGAGCGTTCAGCAGATGTACAGTCCCAACAAAGCAGAGGAGGGGAGTATCCGCTGCAGGTCCCGGAGCATCCAGTACTGCTACCTGCAGGAGGACTCTTCCCAGACCAATGGCCAGTCCACTGGCTCTCCAGCATCCCAGCGGTGCCACCTAAATGAGGAGCAGCCCCGGCACAAGCCCCCTCAGTGCAAGTGTAAATGCAAAAAGGGGGAGGCAGCTGGCACACCAGCCCAAGGGAGCAAGATTCACGGCGCCAAAGAGCAACACCTCGTGCTGATGTCCCCAGCCCTGAAGCTGGCAGTGGAAGGGGTTCACTACATTGCAGATCACCTGCGAGCAGAGGATGCTGATTTCTCAGTAAGTATGCCAACTTAGCCTGCTCTCCTTTAGCAACCCAAAAATTATCTGCTAGGGAAGCCCCACCAAACCTTAAGGTTATACAGAGCATGTAAGTGCTGATGTAGACTCAGCCATCCCTGATATTGTGGCTTTTGGACTCACTGGCCACTGCAGACACAGTTGGAGACGTCCTTGGGGTCTGGGCCAAGAGGGCAGCACAACCAGACCACGCTCAGGGCTGCTCTAGGACAATGGATTCTCCAGCAGAAAATAGGAATAAAGTTGTTGTTAGGTAGGGAGGAAGCAGGTAAGGTTGTGAGAGAGACCCAAAATGCAATCATCTGGTGGGAAGAGAGACTTATTTTTTACAGAGAAGCCTCTGACAGACAGGGAACTCACACACTCTGTTTTTTATTAAGCACTGACTTTGACTATGGAGCCGAGGAAAGTGAATTCCCCAAATAGGTTGTGGGTGTGGGAAGCACGTAGTAGCATGGGGATATTGCAGGGTGTGATTCCTCCTTAGTGGACTTCCACTGGAGCAGTGCAGGGAGGTGGGTGGACAGACAGATGCCACGCTTACTCTGTGAGGGTAAATATGGCTACAAATAGAGGAAGGAAATAGAGGCTGAAAGAATCTCTTTCAACGGAGATAGTGATGCACATAACGAATGCCACATTCTTTCACACCTCCTGTAGCTCTTTCCTGCAATACTATGGATACAGTGTGCTAGGAATTATGACCATAATAAAGGAAGGCACAAGATAACCTGAAATTAGTCATGTTATTAATGGAAAGTCTTACCTAGCTTTTTCTAGACAGATCCATAAGCAAAAGTTACTTCTTAGTTGTGCCTACAGTTTAAATTTTTCAAGATTCAGAATCAGTGCAAGTCACAGTGCTTTTATACAAGACTTCCTGGGCATGAAAAGTGTCTTTTATTTGCACTTTTCACAGCACTGAGCACTTAGAAGCAGCAACAAAATGTTGAATACTACTGTCCTCTTTGATACCATAGTTAAAGGCTTCTGTTCTTTAATGTATTTCACTTCACAACATCCCTTTGAGGAAATAACTGTTTATTCCTCATGTTGAGGACTGACAGCCAAAATACAGAGATGAAGTGACCTGTTCAAGGTCACAGAACAAATCTGTGGCAGAGATGGGCTGTGAATCCTCATCTTTATTAGTTGACAGCCCAAAACTCTTTGCCAGGCTAGAGCACTTCACAAGCACATTAGAAGTGCAGGAATTAAACTCTGCTCTCTCCCTCCGGCAATAACCACAAGTAAACCCAGGGATGGCAGCTGAGTTTAACTCACTCTTTTCCCCATGGTGCAAATGAAAGAATATTACACCAATAATACTTCCCATTTCAACTGATTCTCTCTGCTGAGCTGGTTGGTATCATCAAGAACTGAGTCAATTAACATCTTGAGTTCCTTCCTTTTAATTCTTTAAAATGAAAACAGTCTTCAGAAGCCATGAATTTTCTTCTGCTACTCTTCCCTCCTGAAATGATTATCCTGAGGAAAAGCAATTTAGAGCACTAAACATCAAAAGCAGAAGAAAAGGAGCACTTTTGAGCCTTTGGTCTCTGACCCAACCTCCTGCCAGCCCAGCCTGTGAGCAAAGGCACCAAGAAATCATCCAGCAATGAGCTGTGGGCAGGTCTGTGGGCTCCTCTTGGGGAGTCTGGAGCACTGGTTTTCCTGGGGGTGACCTTTTGCTGCTTTTGCACAACAGTTGTTGTTGGCACAGTAGGCAGAGCTTGGGTTTTCAGACCTGGGGGAATAATGCTGACCTCAGTCTGAGGCTATACTATTTTCTCTTTCTGGATCCAAGAGGTATCAAGTGGGAAGGCACATTTTTTTTCTCCAGGTGTAAATGAAAAAGAAGAGGGAAAAACAGTTTTCTGGAATTGAAATATACTGTGAGGAGCAGAACTCATCGAATAAAATGAGAATTTATTGGGGAAAAAATCAGTACTCGGGAGTTTGCTTTCATCATAAAATCAAATTGTGGCATTTCTTCATGGAAGTCTTCCATAAATCTATCAGGAGGTGTCTCTGATAAAACTGCTGAGACACAGCTTGCTGTCTCATGGGCAATATTTCCACAGACATGCACCTTCCCAGAACAAGAACAGAGCTTCTTTTGAAGTTTTTTTTCTAAAGCTCCATTGCCACAGGGGCAGCGCTTCTAAATTAAAAGTAAATAGCTCATTTAATTAAGTGCTTCAGCGAAGACAAAATGGGAAATGCAAGAGGCAGTTGTTTGTTACAAAAAGATATCTGCAAACAATACAAGCACAGTGGGACACTGGGGAAAACGCAAGATGGAATTGTCCCGGCAAATGATGGAAATGCCATTAGAAATTAATTACAGACTGAAAAGCAAAACGAGTTGGATGTCACACACGAGCCAAAATAAGCAGACACCAACAGCACCATCTGGGAAGCCTTGCTGTTCATGGTTGTGTGTGTCTGTGGAATACTGTAATATGAAGATTTTGAAGACAGCTTAAAAATAAAATGGGAAAGAATAAAGCTGAAGGGGAGGAGACAGAGGATAATCTCACTGGTTTATTTTTAACAAAGTACAATAAAACCACCTGGGACTGCTCTAATCTGTGTTGCAGACTCCAGATCCTGGGGATCAGATGCCACCAAGTCACCTCAATCCTCCACTTAAATCCTGGGGCTCAGACCCGTGAGGAGCTGGACCAGGAAAGAGCTGCAGATTCCCTGACTTTTTGGAAATTTGAGGGTGGGGGAATCAGTTGCCCCTGATTCTTTTCTGAAAATAGTTTTGAGTGAGCTTCTTAAAAACTAATCAAAATGCAGCTCAGGACTTGTGGTGGCAGATGTTGGCAGCTGCAGAGATGTCAGAGGGACGTCTGCGGATCCTGCCCCACGTGAGGTGCTGGACCACAGGGAAATGCTACAGTGCTGGCAGAGCACAAAACACAAAATCCAGATCATTTTTTTTCTTCCTCCTCCTTTTTTTTTTCCATTATCTCTCCATAATTTGCAATTTCACCCTCTGTGCTCTCGGTCTGAAGCTGGATATTGATTTTACAAACTCATCTAATGCACTCCCAGCCATCATTTTCAAGATGGGCTGAGTATTTCTGCATACACCATTACATTTGAAAGCAAATTTCTGTCAAATTTTCAAGTTGTTCCTCTTCTCCCATTTCCCCCTTCTTTTCTCAAAGAGAAAATCATCTAGTTTCTTTTCTTTGCATGATCTAGCACTTTTACTAGCCTGAATATCCAAAAAAGCTTATTTTGCCAGAATGGGGCACTATTAACTCAATCCAGCTTTCCAGTTGGACTTCAGATGGTACATTTCAGATTTTCCTTACACATTGGTTATGTCATGAGACACTAAACACATACATACAGTAATCCAGAGCTTACTTAGCTGCCCTTCTCAAAAGAAATTTGAAGCATCAGAGACTCACTCCAACACTCAGCAAGTGATGAACAGATCAGAAAATAGGTGCAGCAAAGGGGAGCTATTGACTTAGACTGTATCCTGGGGATGACATAACTACTTTTGGTTTCAGTGGTCACTATTTCTTTTACTCTAATTACAGATGGTTGTACTGAGGGCTGTGCAATCATAAAATAATACGATTTTCCCCAAGAAGGTGACAAGACACAGGATGAATCTCTGCTTGTTTCCTCTACCTATTCAGTAATAAAGGCTGGCTTAACTCGGTGCTGGTTTTATAAGGAATAAATCTATCCATTGCATGAAAATATTTAACTGATTCTTACACTTTTGGCAACGTTCAGGTGCTCCTGAAATTGAAAATGCTTTGTTCAGAGGAAATATGATTTGGTCTCCAGTGCATGCCTCATTTCCCAGTTCACAAAGCTGCTTACTGAGCCAAGGAGCTCAGTAATGCCACTGTACCTGTGGAAGCATCATCTGCTCAAAATGACATTTCATTGATCTTTGGATTGCTTCCTTCAACAAAATGAATTTTTGGCAGCCTTGGCTTTGCTCTGCCTCCTTCTCCTTTCACCACACTCCTGACTTGCTGCACTCACAGCCACTGAAGAGGTTTGAGCGAGCTCCTGCTGAGATGTTTTCTCTGAAGAGTGAGGCAGCGTGCCAAATTTCAGCCCTCGGGTCTATTAATCACCAAGTGGGAAATTGTAGGAAATTCTAATGGGTACAGTCATATCAAATAAAACTTTGCCATCTGATCAGTCCTCTTCCTTGGAAAGAAATTATTAACAGCAATGTAATAAAAGAGGTTTTCATATTATGTGGTTTCTTAATGAAACAGCCATTTACAATTTCTGCCTGATGGTATTAATAAGTACTAGACCTTCCCAGAGAGGAATTGCTGGAAAATCCTCCCACAGCAAGGCAAAAACGGAGAAAAAGGAGAATGAGGGACACCACTGCTTTTATTTGCTGGTTCATTTTCACTGCTTACTCACCCAAAGCTTTAAATCCCTTTGCAGAAAGAGGTTGGCTTCATTAATCTGTAAGCAAATCTGTTTATGAGCCAGGGGAAACAACTCATTTCTTACCCCTCACCCTCCCCAGCTTGAATCTCATCCTCATTTACACACCCAGTTACAGCTGTTGCTCACGGGAAATGGGATAGTGAGTGTACAAGTGAGGAGCTTAATTATCCATGAGTGTGTGTCCTCCCTGGGGATCTGTGAACAGGGTTTGTGATTGCACATGCACACCCACAGACCTTCTGGGAATCTGTCTCTCACATCAACAATTCATAGATTAATCTTTGCCATTTTATAGGACCACTAAATGTGAGACCTTTCCCTTCCTATCTCTGGAATTAAACAACAATATCCTTTTTTGGAACAAAGCATTCATAGTTTTCATAAGTTTTGGTCTCAAATAAATGTTAATAATCGACCTTTCTGTGTTCCCAGGTGAAGGAAGACTGGAAGTACGTTGCAATGGTCATTGACAGGATCTTCCTCTGGATGTTCATCATTGTGTGTTTGCTGGGAACTGTTGGCCTCTTCCTCCCACCGTGGCTGGCAGGAATGATCTAAATACAGGCCCAGAAGGAAGAAAGAATTATCCCACTCTATGGATTTTAGTTCACCTGGAAGGAGAGGAACAGAGAAACGGAGGAAGCCCTTTGAATAATTCACTGCGTGTCCATGCTTGAGTTGCTCCAGAGCTCTCGGGGAATCCTTTCCGAGGTCGCGTCATTTTGCCAAGACATTTTCATCTCCTCCATCTAATCTAGGGGAAAAGTTCTTATTAAAGTCTGTCCATAGCATGGTGGCATTCATTGGCATATACTCAGCAATGTAAGAACACGAGCTTGTCCCTAAAGCAGCACATAAAGGGGCTTTGCATCCCCAAACCAGCCCCTGGCAATTAGCTCCAGTCATCCTCAGAGGTCTCGGTGTGCCCTGCCTAGTGATTTTGCCCTGTCAGTCTGAAGTGGTTCAGGGCTCTGTGTCCCTGTATGAGTCATTTTATAAATAAAGTTCTGGATTTGGGGTACCTGTGGAGGATGTGGTCTGTGGTCAGCTGGTGGAAAGGCTGAAATAACTGCTTGGGACCGACAGTGATCATTAGCACAGCAGATGCAGTTTTTACACTGACAGATTTTACTTTGGCCAATGACCTTCAGAAGTCGTGGGGACCAGAGCTGAGTGAGGACCATGCAAATGGAGGGAGGATTTGGGGTTAAGACTGGGACCATGTTAGTAGCACTTTAGTGTACTTTCAAAGGAAATACCCTGGATCCAAGCTGCAAAATAGCAGAGGGTCACCTTGAGCTGTAAAACCCGTGGCATAGGTGAGGAAGGTACTTAGAGAATGGGAAGCCTAACAGAAGCCCAGGATGACTTTAGGATAATAAGGAAATAGGGGAACCCCAAACAGGACACACAGGCTCGGGAATTCAGGATGACACTTTGCAGAAATTACAGGCCTTAAACATGGCCACTTGTCTCAGCAGCTGTGCTCTTCCCAGCTCTACCCAAGCTAAATCAACCTTTTTGCCCACCTCGTCCTTGCTTTGGGACCTGCAACAAGAAGGCAGGGACAGGTAGCAGCAGCCAGAGAGAGAGGGATTCCAAAGCCCTGTCCTACTGCAGGGTGACATTGGTGCTCCAAGGCTCAGCTGAGCTAGAGGTGTGGGTGAAAGCCTGGAACACAGAGGGCAAATGTGGGCTTCGCCTGCCTTCTACCTGTTCTCTGTGTGCAAGTGCAACTGCAGGAGACTGACCACACTGGAACAGAGTCAGGTGAAGCCAGAGCTGGGTGACACCCCAGGTGGGTGTGCCACATCTAAGGGGGACATGAGGCTTGCCCGTGCCACATGGCTCAGTGAGCAGCAGAGAGCTGCTCAGGCTTGTGACAGCAATACTGGAACTGAACAATATGGTTTAGAGACTTCTTTGAAATACAAGTTACTGCCCTCAGTCCGAACAGCACAAGCTAAAAATCAATGCAGTGATCAGCCTGTGTGGATTCATCTAAGAAGTTACAACTGACCTCCATGTTCACAGACTCAGCCAAGTGCTTAAAATCTGTTCAGCTCACAAAAAAAAACAGAGTAGCTGAGCTTTGGGTCAGTTCCCGAAGAGCTGTGCTGGCACAGCACAGGGAGGGAGGATGAGGGAGCCTGAGCTGCTGCTCCTTGTTGCTTGTTTTCAGAATAAAGAGAGCCTCGGTCTTTGGAGATGCTAATTTATCCCTTTTCACAGTCAGTGAGTTTGCTTATGGCAATGAAAGGAAAACAAACAGTCAAACATCTTCAAGGTCCAGTGCATAAATGTACCAGCACAGCTGCAGTCTGTGTGCAGGGTTGCCAGTGGAGGGGACAGCGGGGCTGCCTCACGGTCTGTGTGACAGGCACGCCGGGCTCACAGGGGCAGCCTGAGCCCTCTCCAGCACCTTTTCACATTTTGAGTGCACCAATAATCACGAAAGTAGAAGATTTGTGACCCTGGGCATTGCTGGGTCAGGGGCATCATATCTCAGCAATGCCCATGACAGATGTGCAGAGCTCCCGCTGCCACCTCGTCCTCCTCCTCCCCCTGAGCCCATGAGGATTGCTGGCAATGGAGCAGGTGGGAGGGTTGACTGTGCATGCACATTTTTAGCAATAAAACCACACTCATTTTCCAAGCTAGGATGGAATCAGCAGCATCTCAAGTCTCTGCTCACATCTCCCAGCAAACACAGGCTTGGGCAGCAGATGCCTGAAGCCAACCCACGGCAGGAACCCACAGAGGAGAGGGGGCCTGTACAGCAAGAGCTGCTGTTGGGCCCATGAGAGCAGAAAGGAATGATTTGGAGGCAGCAGGAGAACTCATAAAAATTTAAGGACAGATTAAGAGCCGAATGTTTAAGGTGGCATATTGGGAAATTCAGTAGGGACAGGCATAGGCTGTATTTTGTTCACAGCAAAGGGCCCACTTCAAATCTTCACCTTTTCTGCTAAAAGTTATTGCCAGTGCACACAGTGTGAAGTGCAGTGTCTCAAGGGGAGCGTGGCACTGTGACAGCAACAGAGAATTCTCTGGCAGAATGGCCCTGCCAGGCAGGAGGAGGAGGAGGAAAGGGCTCCATTAGCACATCAAAAGTATCGGGTGTGATTAGGAGTGCTAAGGATGTGGTTGTGTCCCTGAAGAGTAAGTGCCACTTTGGGATCAGAGAGTTTGGCAGGACAAGATGGCAAGTGACAGCTGAAACCAGTTACAAGGGTGTTACTGGTGTTTGGGGAGAAACTGGGGTAGATCTCTGGCATCCCCTGCCTTGCTAAAGACAGAGTATTTTTCCCACACTGGTAGCTACACTCCTTCTCATGTTGCATCAGTAGTTTCCCACTTTAAAGTTCAAATAAATTCTTCCTTCTGCTTCTGACATGCTTCCCTGTGAATTCTAAAGAGAGAAATTAGGAATCAACACTTACCAGTCTTTCTTAGACAAGTTATTCCCTCTTGGAGGTTTTTTGGGAGGATGTTATCCCTCCATAGGATTCAATGATCAGAAACTGGAATAAAACTGGGACATGAACCAGACTATAACTGTAGAATAATGAATAATTCTGCTATTCCTAACCCATGAAACACAAAGAGAGGTTTTTAGCATATGAAAGACTCCAGGAAAATGCATGCAGCCAGACTGCTAGCATTTATAATGTTCCCATCTCAGAAATGATTCCAAGGACTTGACTGAACAAGCTGACGTCAGAAGAAGAGTGAGGAAGCAAGACTGGGATACAGCAGGAGCTCTAAAACTGTCTTGGAAGAGATTCAGAGCAAAGTAATGGGTTTTCAGGCTCCAGGAGTACAAAACTAAGCCCAGAGACCCCAAAGGCACCACAAACAGCAGATATAGGTGTTGACCTTTTCTGTTTTACTTGAGCAGGAGATGTTGTATCCTCAGCATGATGATTCCTGCTTCCCCTCCAGTACAGTTCCTTTGGGCATGAATGGAAGAAAACTGACTGTAATAACCTCAGTTACCACCATTGCTCTCTTTTTCCCCACATCCTCTTTCTTTTCATTCCCTAATGCTCACTTTGTCTAGATCATCTTCCCAGCCATAGAGGATGCAGGGTATTTTATCTGCAGCTGGATGGCAGGATGATCTTGTAATCCCCTTTTCCCCAGCATTTTCAGCACTGTTCTCTCTCTCATTCTCCAACGAGCTAATCCACATAGTTTATATCACCTCCCTTTTGGATAAGTTTCTCTAGACATTTTGCAAGAAACTGTACTCAAGGAAATCCACTGGTGTAGGGACAGACAGGCAGCAAGATGCAAGTGTGAGATGCAAGATTCACGTACAGTACTAAGAAAATCCCCCCCCAACAGCCCCACCTGGCTCTCCCCCACTGCAGTGAGGTCCATTTATGAGATCTTTCGTTCCTATCGAGGATGTCTTTTTGTTTCCAGCCCTTTAAATCTGGCCCAGCCCGACTGCTGAACCCTGGAGAAAGCCTTTGCTGCTTGTTAGCGGTGTTGCTGGTTACTCCTCTATACTTGTATTTTACTCCTGAGAGCGATTTAATACCTTACAACAATGCTTTTAGCAAAAATATCTGTCACTGAAAGGCCAATGCCAGAATTCAGCTGCACCAGGTGGGTCAAACTCTGCAGCAGGAATAAAAAATCTAAATTTATTGCAATTTAAAGACTGGAGGATAGAAGGTTTAAAGAAAATTGAGAAATGATGTCACACTACAAATGGTATGAAAAAGAAAGTCTCTATGGCACAGATTACTTCAGGGCACTAATAAAAATGAGCAAATCAGTAGAAAGGATTTTAATAAGGACCAAAGAGAAGGCAGGGAAGCAGGCATTGATCTGCAAAGGAGAAAAAAATAGTCTGAGCGTGTGGGTTTTCACAAGGATATGTTAAATTTTTATAATTGAGAGCCAAGTCCCCACTAAGGAAAGACCTGCAAGAGAACTCTTTAAACTGCATTGCTAATGAATTACACTGCTCTGAACTACAGTTTGCACTAAAAATGATAAACTGGAAGGGAAAAGCACAAAGCACTTAAAAGAACAGCACAAAAGGGAAAACAACAGGTTCTGTTCAGCAAAGAACAGAGGGTCTCCTGAGCCTCCCTGTACCTTCACCTTTAGGGCTGCTGTGTTTCTCCAGCTGCTGAAATATTTTCTTTTTGGATTAGGACACTCAGCGCCCAAAATCTCCCCTCAGAAATGCCCCTTGGCTCAAGGAATTGGGTTACAAAGCACTGGCACAGGCTCTGTGATGTTACATGGGCTAAATAGCCGTGATTTCAAGTAAATAAAACCACTCATGGGACAAAGTTTAGGAAGATAAATGGACAAGTTGTTTGTTCAGGTTGTCTGTCTCCCAATCAATAGCCCTTCTGGGACACAACTTTGTTAAAATCTGACCCTTCCTCTTGTATCTGAAATAATAAGACAAAAGCAAATGTCACTAGAAATTCCAACAAATAGATTTCATCCCAAGGCAGGCAGTGAGGGGCTGTGAGTAACCTTCAGAAGCAGTCGATAAAGAAACATAAAGGAGCTCTGTCTCAGTCACCTGCAGTTACTGCACTTGAACAGGCAGAGCAGCAAGTCCAGAACTGGGAATTTGGCTGCACTAGTCTGGGACAGAAAGGAAGCAGCATCACCTGCAAATGCAGATGTTCCTCGTTGAACTGCTCACCTTCCCCAGTTTGTGAGCATTCCATGGGAACAATTTTCAGTTCTGCTGTGCAGGTACCTCTTTTACCTCCTTGCCTTTCCTTTCATCTGCCAGTTATCACAGCTGTAGGGGTTTATATCCAGGGCTAAATGCAGAACCATTTCGAATCAACTTCATGCAGGTTTGGGTTGCCTTTTTTTCTTTGGTTTAGTTGTGGGGTTTTTTTTCCCCTGAGAACAGTGAAAACACAGTTCAAAAGCTTTTTGACCTGTATAAACAGAAACACCTGCAACTCCACAGCACCTATTCAGGGTGTCCCAGTGAATGTGTCTCTTCAAACACTGTGTTCTCAGTGT